CCTTCCTTTGATCTGGCATAGAGTTTGTAATATCATTTCTTTCCCTCACCTCTGAATCTTTTGGCCTACTCCAACTCTTGTCTGTCATTCGCATCTAACTCCATGTCTCCTCCAAAATCGACATTGAATGTATGAGAAAGGGGAGCAACAATGACTGATATCAGCTTCTGTGTTAATCTTTGCTGTTCACCAATGAGATTGGGAAGCATCGATCGCATAGAAATATGGGTTGCGTCTACATGTCTTGGGCTTCCAAATCTTCCTCACCATTCGGTCTGGCCTTTTCCTCTTAGGTCCCAGGTTCAACCATTTCAAGCTATTGAAATGTTGTGATGGTGGCCCATTTTCGTGCAATAACTCGGCGTTGTATTCAGCCCTCCCTCTCACACATCTTTACAGGAGTTTTTCCCACTTTTCTCCCAAAATTTCAAGTTAATCTGGTTGACTTTTCTATTCCCTACCAAGTCAGTTGTTATCACTAACAAGAAACAGATAAATTACTCAGTTCCTCTGTGATCTCCTCCTCCCACCATGTCCGATAATTTTGTAATGGATATTGATTGTGCAACAGGATTCTCGTGTTTTTGAAAAGTGAAATAAGGTCCATCCTCCATCATCAATGTGCCAACGCCAACTTCAGCCCTCTCTCACACACCAAAATCAATGTATCAATTCTTATGTAACACAGAAGCAGAAATATTAGTAAATTTTTTGTGGGCCTTAACCTAAAAGAAGGCCAGAAATGTAATCTGCTCTCACAAAACTTGAGTCAAAAAAAACAATCATCTATCTCTATGGTGATTAAAAATGTGATAGTTTAATGCAAGTAAAATGAATTTCAGCAGCAACTAGCGCTTAAAGAACTAATGATTCTAACAGCAATATTTTAAATTCAAAATTCTACTTTAGTTTTCTGGAAGTAAAAGAGTAAAAAAATGTATTAAAGAATCAATGGTACCAAGGGGGTGCTGTCCATGTACAAATATCTATAAGTTTGTCAAAATATCAATTATGTCCTAATCCTCCATTCTAATGATATCACGACCCAGGAAAAGGGATCCAAATTAATGAAACCAGCCATCTCTTAATTACAAATCTCCCTTTCCACCCCATCAAAGGTCCTCCTGTTTCTCTCTTTCTAAATAACCCAAAAATGATCAAAGGAATTAGATTAGCATATTTTTTCCATTTACATAATCTCTCCCAAGCCTATAATTCATCCCTAACTGTCCCAGCAATTACCTAATTAATCCCGAGCAAACCATACACTATGGACCACAAACTATAGGCAATCGAACACACAAGCAACAAGTGGTTACAAGATCCCACATCATTTTTGCACAAGTAACATCTGTTGACCCAATTAGTTACTATAAATGATATCGATAACATGGCACAAAAGCTCTTAGTTGACAGAAAACTAAGGCCAATTATGGAGATGCAAATTTGGAAGAGATTCCTGAGCTTTTCAAGAGAAAAAGGAACAGGGTAAGAAAGAGTGGAAGCATTCAATTGTACAACTGTGAGTTTCCTACTTCTATATCTAATCTATTAAAGGTTTATTCTGTTCTTATATCTTGAGCTGTAAAACTTTTAATGTTTTCACAGGACTAAACTTAATAGGGATTAATTCTAAGGATTTTAAGTTTAGAAAAAAAGGGTTGCACTTAAACCAATGGAGAAAGCAAAGGGATAACAGAAATAAGTTTTTTCTTCTTTTATCACCCTAAATTTGCCAACCCAATATCTCATCTAGGAGCCACTAATCATCCAACTCATTCATTCAACTCAGGAACTCAAGATCGACAAGAAGAGAAAGGGCACCAGAAAAAGAAGGTACTCCCTAGCTTTTTACATATAGCAGAATCTTTCCCCTCCCCATCAAATCACCAATGGTAAGGACCCTACCCCTCTTACTTCCCAAGCAAAGAGAGCTATTTTGGGGCACATTCAACTTGAAATATGGGTCTAGCACATTCTAATACATCCTCAGGTGCAGTTATATGGATCCAACACAACCCTAGTTAAGTTTACAATTCCTATGCCCACCAAGAAGCCATCTAAGGCTCTTCTACTGTATACGCATGCAGATAAAAAACCTTTTTTTTTTTTAAGAGATTTTTATATATTTGGGGCTTGAGTGGTTACGACATCTCCAGCTTTTCATATGAAATTTCTTCAGTATGCATGCCTATTGAAATGGACTTCAAAGACAATTTTGTTTGATTGTCTTCAATTTGACATTCTAAGGATTGATAGCTAAAAGACTTATGTACTAAGTCAAAAAAGAGCCTCTCTTTCTGTATATTCGGACTGCAAGTTCATATGCAGGTCAGAGTATAGAGACAAGAAAATAATGCTTCAATACTTCGGAGAGATTTGAGTTTATCTTTTTTGGTGGGAGGTGATGAACCATTTTGAAGCAAGTTGGAGACTGTTACTGATTATTGATTCTGATTATTGATTCACTGAAATCACTTCATTCACTTTTAAGTTGTAATTACAACTTCTGGACACTTGACCTTCAGTTGGTACCAAGTATTCCTTTTAAATTTCTATTACACCATGGCATAGCAAGAGAGAGACAGAAAGAAAAAGAATCAGTATCAACGTGCAGTTATAAAGATCTTACAGAGCATCCATCAGAAAGGTATTAATAGAATAAAGATAATTTATCTTAAGGCCTTCTATCACCAACAATTAGTAACTTGAGGATTATGGTTTTCAAAAGTGCAACAATGTTTTGGTTGTTGAATTGACCATAAATGTACATCACTAATGCGTACCTTGGCGAAAGCCTCTTGCTCTGCTTTCTGCAGCAGACTATTGATGGGTTCCAAAATAAGACCTACAAAGTGGATAAGCAACTGAAGTATGAAATGCTTCAAAAATCACATTGCTTCAATAAACAGTATTTCAACCAGAAACAGAATTTGAAACTTCTCCAGCTTCAAAGGAATTTAACCCCTCAAAAATCAGATGTTATTGGTGCAAAACCTGCCGCATTTTTGTTCTTTCACTTACCCTTTTGGACCAAAGGATCAAAAACATCATACTTACTAGGTTCATCACAGTACTAAAGCATTTCATAACCAAAAAATAGTGAGAATGTCCACCAAAATCTCTAAATCTCAGTTTATCTAAGCCCTTACTAAAAACTTTCACAGGTAAAATTACGATTCTCATATTCTTAACTTGGTAAGTTATACTTCCCCGAAAACAATTGTAAATTGGAAAGAAAGGAATAGATGATGAACAACCATGATATCATTCTAAGAGCCGTTTTATAAATATTAATAAATCTGCATAAAACTAACCAAATGTGATATTCAATCAAAATGCAACATGGTTTTACTCTTTCATAGGCACAGTACGTAGAGGCATCAAAGGCCTTGAGGTGAAAACCACAATGAAAAATATGGCCAGGAATAAATTGCATAAAATAGACTTAAAAGGAATAGCCCTAAACTGGCAAAAGTAAAATTCTCATCGCACGAAAATATTGAGAACAAGTTGACACTCTCGTCAACTTGAAGCTCTCTCTACACTCCAAAATAACCATTTACTTTTTCTAGTTTAGGGGAATACAATACTGTCACTAGCGTTCAGCAAGCTAAAGACAATATATTAACCATTTTCTTCCTTCAATAACTGGGTTAAACAAGGACTCTCTTCCCTAGCACCTCCATCCCTTAGTCATACAACAGATTCAGATAACCACTCTTGTCCTGTGAACTTGAGCCATTTTGTTTCATCGAAACATAAAGAAGACAGATTTATGCAGCACAATGGAGAGAGAATGTTACGGTTAAAAATATTCCTGTAAATGTAACACTCAAATGCCTGTATTGATTCCGGAGTCTAACTTTTAGAAGGGAACCATGAATACCAACATAATCATTAGTGCCTGCATTAATCAGAGAATTCTTTTCCTGATTACTTAACAGCATGTTAGCTCGTGCATTAGTTACATACACACCCATGCTATATATATTTTTAAGAAAACAAATGCTATAGTTAAGATCTAAAAAACATATGCAATTTAGTCCCAGAATTCTTTTAACTAAACAAATATCCCAACCGATTGATATACATTGCACTAAAATTCCTTTGCAATTTCCACCATATGCAATTCCCCGCAAACCAAACAGATCAAAATATCGGATAGGAAACAAGAAAATATGGCATTTTTCCTACCATTAGACTGTGCTCTGAGATTTAGTTTCTTTATTCTCTCCTCTCCCTCCAAACGACAGATCCTCGCGTAGACTCTGTCGCCGCCATTTGGTGCAGTGATGGGTATACATTCCCCGTCAATCTCGGAAGCATACCTCGATATTATCTTCTCATTTGGAATTTCCAGTTCTACCACCTCCACCCCAGGGTTACTCTCCTGCTGCGGCGAGCGCCTTAGCCAATCTTCTTCTTCCTCTTCCAAGTGCAGCCGCAAACAATCAGCTTTGTTTCTCTTCTCGTCAGATGGGAACTCACTATTGTCCTGACTAAGTAAATCGAGGGCGTAGGGTCTAGACCGCTTGTTTCCATTAATCTGCCGCTCAATGGAGGACCGCGATGATTTTAGCGGCGACGATGATGTTGATAAGTTGGGCTGGGGGTCCTCGTAAAAACGATCGTCGTCTTCGGGAGGCTGGAGGTCGAGATAGTCTTCTTGTATGTGAGAATTGGCTTCGAGTAATTCAAGCTCTTCAGGAAGAGGAATATACATATCCATGTCATCCATTGAAGCTTCCGAAAGATCTACGTCACACTAAGTGACCGATTTTCTCACCGGGTAAGGACAATAATAAAAGCCTGCGCAGTACCTTCTGCTTTTAGTTAAATAAATGATAATGATGCCAATCTCTTTACCGCTAGAACATAAGCCATGGACAAGAGCTCCCAACAATGGAGTTCAGATCGAGTCTGACCAATGGATTGTGCCTGTTGGCGGGAAAGAAAGGCGGCAGAGAAAAGAGCAATCTTATTGCCAATTTGCCCATTTTTGGAAGGTGTGGAGGCAGATGAAGGTGGGCTACAATGGCCTCCAGAAGTCCGGCCCGGTATGAATGTAGCCATGCATCAAGATCCATTATTGGTAATGCTGGTTATTTTTTAAAAATTTCTTGTTCATGAATAAGTAAAAACCTTTCTGGTATAATTAGTAAAAAAGCACATAAGAACATGAAGTTTATTTATAAATTAATGTTTCGTTTAATAATATAATATATAAATTATATTATAATGAGCAAATAAGTGATAATATGGAAAATGTTATTGTACTTTTGCATCTATATCAATTTGCATTTTTTTATGTTTAATTATATAAGTATGTATCTTAAAAAATTACAATATATTAAATTATCTATTATCTCATAGTATTTCTTCATTTTTGTTTAAATATTTAAAAAATAATTTGATAATATATATTTTTTCTTTTAAAAAATAAAATTTCATTATAATTAATTACAAAAAAAAAAATTAACCAATAATAATTTAATCATAACATTTGGGTCAACCCTAAATCCACAACAAGATAAACAACCCCTATAAATTTATAACGTATGAGAATCATTCAATAAAATTAAATACCTTCAAAATATAGAAAAGTCAAATAAGTTATTCTATAGAATTTTTCAATCATAAAAGTTTTAAATAACGTATGTAAAGAATAAAGTCAATCATGATTTTAGTTTCATATATACGTACTTTATCTAAATAATAAAACAAACTACGCGTATTATAGTAAAAATTATTATTAAATCTCTAACTCCTCTATTTGTATTTATCTTTCTACCGAATATGTTAATATACAAATTTATTAAAATATTTTAATAGACGACTGGGTTCATATGTTATTAGCATGATTATTATTTATTTTAATTTTATATTAAATTGAATGTCACAATAAAAACTTCAATTTTAATTTTAAATTTTGTTATTCATCATAAATTTATATATTATAATATAGCATTAAACTCATGTCATTTAAAATATAAGTTAATATATTAGTTTGTCTCATGTTTATAATAATTTAAGATTTTCTATATAATTTATTTATAAATTTATAGTTACATCAATTTAAAATTTATGAAATTAAACTCATATAAAATAATACAAATAAATTAAATCAAATTGATTTTTATTATCCTTTAATAAAATTTATATTTTTATTATTAAATTATCATAAATTTATAAATGAATTTTACATGATTGCATTTAGGTAGACCAAATCATAAATCAATAAATACTTAAAACTCCTTTAGATTTGGAGAGTTATTTTGATGTCTAACCCATCACATGTATTAATGACATAATTATTTCATTACCCAATGGATTTATTGAAGTCTTTTATTTGATGGAATGCAATAATAAATTTACATAATTAATTTACAAAACATATATAATGGTCAATGGTCGGTCAACAATTTTGCTTTTTGCTTTTTTTTTTTTACTATTTAATTATCGCTCGTTCTTAATAAAATTACAGCAAAAGAAAATTATTCATTTATGAGTATGATTAGTGGATAATCAGTCAAATCATAAAATAATAATTATATTATTTAAAGTACATTGTTAGTAAATTTTAATATTATAAACATAAAAATGATAGAATCTCATTATTTCCGTACACTAATTTTACTTTAACTATTTGTACACATAATATAATTTCATAATTTTTTTATAATTATATAAAAATATATAACAATAAAAAATTTTCAAATAAAAATATAAAAAATTTCTCATATATTAGTTTGTAGTGAATTACTATGTTCAATAAGGTGTGAAGAGAAAGATATGTAGTAAAAAATTTACGTAATCCATAATCATAGAAATTTTAGTTAATTAAAAATTAATTTATATAATAACATGATCATATTTATACTTAAAAATTATTTAGTAAATAATTCATAATTAAATAAAAAATAAATTCAAATTTCGTATTTAAAAAGTTTTAATAAATAGTTGTTATATATTATTCTACCAAACAAATAAATTGCTATTATCAATATTGTCAAATTAGTTTTATTTTAGCATATTTTAAAAAATTATTTATTATGCAATATTAACTAACTAAAAATTAAAATTTATTTTTATATTTAAAAAATTTAAACAAATAATAATTGTATATATAATTAAATTGAATATACAGATAATTGATATATATATAAGAGTTTTCTTGTTTTATTATTAAAAAATATATGGTGCATAATTTTTAATTAATTAAAAATTAAATTATATTTTAACGATAAAAGAATAATTATTATGTAATTACTATATCAAATATAAAAATATTTCAAAAAAGAAGAATCTACATCTTAATTTCTATTTTATTTTAAATATAAAATAGAATTTTCCATTTTTGGTAATTTTTTAAAATTTGTATGTTTATTTTTTATATTTACCCAACTAAATTAGTTATTTATTTATTTTTTTAGAAAATTTATTTATTATTGAACAAATATTTTAATTAATAAGCATTTGAAACTTCCTCTTCAATTTAACCAATTTAAAAATGGTTGTTGGCGTTTGATAAGAAATCTCAACAAAATTCAAACCGACCGCGTTCGAACGCCTCGCTTTTAATTTTCTCGTTTCCTCCATTTCAAGGTAATCCGTCTTCTTTAATTAAAGAAAAGGTAATCCCTCTCATTCACTCTTTCAAAAATTAAAATTAAAAAAATGCCTAAATTTAGGCTAAATGAATGACTGAATATATAAAGTAATACAACCCTCTCTCTCTCTCTCCCTGCGAAATTCCAGCGTCGATTTCGTTTGTCCGATCTCCTTCTCCCCCAATTTTATCGCTCACTCCCTTCCCTCATTTCTTCCTTTTCGCATTTTTTTCTTTTTGATTTTTAATTGATCAATCAGATCTTGATTTAGGGTTAGGGTTTCTCTTTCGCTGGGGGAATGGGACAGCAATCGTTGATCTACAGCTTTGTGGCTCGGGGAACGGTGGTTCTGGCAGAGTACACGGAATTCACCGGGAATTTTACCAGCATCGCTTCTCAATGCCTCCAGAAGCTCCCCGCTTCCAATAACAAGTTCACCTATAATTGTGATGGTCATACCTTCAATTACCTCGTCGAAAATGGCTTCAGTATGTCATCTTTCCATGTTTTTGTATAAGCATTTGTGTACCTGCATATGATTTTCTTTGTGTCTGCATGTTTTTTGTACATGGTACATTGAAACACTGATCCAGATCTCTATTATCCACATATTTTTGTTGTTTTCTTGATCTTACTGTTGGTTCTAATTAGATCAAGTTCGTTAACCGATGTAATTGCGTTGGGAGTTCGAATCTTTTTGGTTTAACAGTGGGGAATGCTTGATAAGTATGAGTCGCAGCATTGATTGTGTTGCGTTGGGTTGGTCCTGATCGCCGTTGGTCGGAATAGAAAATATCACCCGTAGTGTAGATCGCATTTTTTCACTCCAATATGTACTGTTTTGGATCTAAGAGGAAAATGTTCCTTGTCCTTTTTCTTCCCTTGTTTGAAAAATGTTCTCTGTCCTTTCTTTTTTCTTTTTCCCTAACAGACGAAGCTCCTTGTTTGTATCTAAACTGCTATTTGGATGATGTGTATACGGATTGTGGAGGAAAAAGGAAAAAGGAATGGTTTACGATTCCCTTTTTCAAAATTCTATGTTGTGCTTATAAGGAACGGTAAATGATTAATTGGCTAAGTTGTGATCTATTGATCCGTACATGGATCAACTTGTAAACTGAAGATATTGTGTTGATTGTTTTATTTTTGCTGCAATCAGTAGGCAGATATGACGGATTGTGTTAATCCAGGAGATTATTCGGTATCAGTTTCCAGTAAAATGTGTGAGAAACATGCAGATGAGAATTGAGGAGGGTGGACCAAACACGTACTATCTGCTTGCTGCTGAAAAAGTAAAGGAAAAAGGATATCCTTAAAAGATCTAGATTTTAGCTATATCCTGCTGCAGAGACCAAACTATAAATGTGCTTGTGGCATCATTTTTTATGTGATAGTTTTAGTTATTAATAATTGATTTTAATTTTATATTTATTGGAAAAAAATGTAGAAAAGGAATCCTTGGCATAGCAAAGACCGGCGTAATGAAAACAGATATGAAGTAGTACTCAAGGTTATTTTATAATCACACGAGTGTTTCTTTCCATATCATTATAATGTGCTATTTATAACCTTACAAGGCAGTAGGATATAGTTATAATTTTACGAAGTATTAGATAATGCAAAAAACATTAGAAAGTACACACGGTATAATACAGATTATCTATAAGAGTGTATTTATCTCATAAATAGGATGATTCATCTATGAATTTGCACTATCATAATCATATTTTATAATTTGGTTAAGCAAAATTGTTATATATTTTTTTGACATTAATATATTATTTCCTTGGCCATGTCCTTCTCTATATCCAGCCAAGTATAGAGTTCCTTCTTTTACGGGTTTGAATTTGTTGGAAAGTTGACAAAATTGCTTGTCAAATAAAGAGAACCACTCATTACTAACTTTTAGATATCAGTTCTGAGTCTAGAACGTATTAAGACATCATTTTAGTTCTGCATTGTAAGATGGATCAATTGGAGAATTTAGCATGTAGAAGTGCCTAAAGATAGGATGCGCTCGCCTCTATCATATTTTATTGATTTAAAGGAGTAATCGAGGAGGATTCTACTCTGAATCTCTATTATGCCATTACTTTTTGACAGATAAACCATGTTTAGTGTTGATAATTATTCTTGCTGAATAATCATAGCTTCTAGATCTATCAGGTGGTAAGTAGTTAAAATCTCTTGATTGTTGAACCTTTATGTGATTTGTTGCTTGCTTGTAATTGGATTTATAAGTATTGCTTGCTTTGTCTCAAAAAAAAAAAAAACTTGCTAAAGTATTTTGGTTATTTGTTTTATTAGTTATAAAAGGTGTATTTAAGTTGTGAAGTTCAAATCTAAATACTAAGACAATTGCATGTTATCTCTTTATTTGCAGCCTACTGCGTTGTTGCAGTTGAGTCTGCTGGGAGGCAAATTCCAATTGCCTTTTTGGAAAGAGTTAAGGAGGACTTTAACAAGAGATATGGTGGAGGGAAAGCCGCAACTGCCGTTGCTAACGGGTTGAACAAAGAGTTTGGGTACTGGCACTAACTCTTTAACAGTTTGATGTTTGATTTTCTTTAACGAATGTGGATAACTCTTCCATCTATGTTGTAGACCCAAGTTGAAGGAGCATATGCAATATTGTGTGGATCATCCTGAAGAGATCAGCAAGCTTGCCAAAGTGAAAGCTCAGGTTTCTGAAGTTAAGGGTGTTATGATGGAAAATATCGAGAAGGTAAGGAGGCCCTGTGGTTTTCTCCACCATTTCTATAGCTTCCAAGTGAATGTAACTTTCTTCAAACATGTGAAACTGTGAACTATACAATGTAAATTTTTGCGGTGATATTTCTAGTAGAATATTTATTGTGAAATTCATATTTCATGTAGGTTCTTGATCGTGGTGAAAAGATCGAGCTACTGGTGGATAAAACTGAGAACCTTCGCTCCCAGGTTAGTCTAGCTCAAAAAAGAAGCTTAATGAAAATTGGATCTGGATGTAGTGGCTTTTGCTTTCACCCAGGGAAAGTTATTCATCTTTCCAGGGTTTTGGGTGTGGTTTTCTTGCAGTTGCCTACAATTAGGCATATTGTTCTTGATAATTCGATTGGGAAAGAAGGGGGTTGGCTCAACCTTTGTTATTTCTTTTATAATTCTTCTATGCATGTACTCCTTTTCCGTTTTTAATAATGTACTTTGATACATTCAATTTATAATCAACTGCAGGCACAAGATTTTAGGACACAGGGAACAAAGATGAGAAGGAAGATGTGGATTCAGAATATGAAGATAAAATTGATTGTTTTGGGTATCATCATTGCGTTGATTCTTATAATTGTGTTGTCAGTTTGCCATGGCTTTAAGTGTTGATTATGTTGGATATTTCTCCATGGAGACTGCACTCACCACTATATGGAGTGGATTTCATGGTAAGATCGGTTTGCCTTTTATGAAGATCCACATTGCTATCTCTTTTTCTCTGGAGTCATTTATGTTTCAGCCAATGCCTTTCTCCTCTGCTAGCATCTGAAGGTGGGAGAGGTTTTTGTATTTTGGATTTGCTGTATAGGTTATATGGTTGAACTTCCTTAGTAGATATATATATTTTCCTGTTTCGTATCATGGATCTTGTTTAAGAATTAAGATGTATTGCGTACTTGAATGCTTACGAATTAGGTTGTGAAGTGGGATTATTACACCTACCTTTTTTGTCATTTACTTTCATATCCTCTCTCTATTGTGAATTAGATTACTTTCGTGACCTACCTTTTTTTGTCATGGCTGTATAAGTCATTTGCTTGAACCTTCCAAGTAGATATACTTGGAAGCGTACAGATTAGGAGTTTGTGGGGTGGGATTATTGTCACCTGCCCGTTGTCATTTACTCACAGAACAAAATGGTTAAGTTTGTACTTTTTCCGGTCATTCAATTTTGTGATATATAATTTCCATTGAGTTTTTTTGTGGTAGTTGGAACTATCTCGAAATCGCCTTCCCTGCGTGTGAATGAGGTCTTTTTGTGTTTTTGTGATCTGAAAATTACAATAACTTGTGTATTTAAATTTAAGAGTGAAGTACAGCTTCACTCAGTTTGTGTAGTCTTTTTTGAGTTTAGTGTATTGTGTTTTAGTTTTTGTCATTTAAAATAAAAGTTTTAATCTTCTTGATGCATTTGCATTTGATTTCTATGTAGGATCCTACAAACTGACAATTAAGAGTTCAAAAAATTAGAAAGTAATTGTGTAAATAACAAATGATTTTCGTGTAATGATAATGAGTCTAATTACAAAGTATTAGTTGTTAAAGAATTGCAGAGGTTTATAAAGAATTAACCACAAATGAAGTTGTAAGCTTTTAGTTTAATGATACGATGATGAATATTCAAATTTGAATCAATTGATAATTTCAATTGAGTTTTAATAAGACAGTTTATTCAGTTCATATAGTATCTTTTACCATTTTTGTTTTTACCAAACAATGATAGCTTTAAAATTTTCTACGGTAGTGACTGTAAAGAACTAGAAGTGTACTTATTTTTGTCTAAACTGAACAAGTTGAGTCAAATATCGGTTCACCAGCTGGATTAATTTCGTAGTGCGTCAAATATCGGATAAAAAATATTCAATGTCAGCTAATAGCATCATCCTTATCGATGAAATTGACTATTGTTTTGTTCTGTTATTGATTTTTTTTATAAATTAAAATATCATATTAACATATTTGTGTGACCACGTGAAAAAAATATTTGATTGTGATAAAAATATATGATTTTAATATGTGCATTTATTTTAACATCTATTTTTATGTTAAATTACTTAATGATAAGACAAACTCATTTTATGTCAAATATAATTAAAGATTATTTTTAAATATTTACTTTAGAAATATGTTTTGTAATTAAAATGCATAATTTAAGAATGGCATACTGAGATAAATTTATCCGAACATAGTTAAGATATTATTTTTAGATATTTAATTTACTAATAAATTAAATAAATAAAACTCATAATTTAATAAAATAAGAATATCATACAAAAACTAATTTATCAAATAACAAAATTTTCCTTATAATACATAAATTGTCATTTAACTTTTTTCAAGAAGTACTCAGAATGTTAACTTTTGTTCTAAATTTTTACTATTTTTTTTTTTTTTAAAAAAATCTTGTTCGGTGTAAGTTTCTGATATTCTGAAGCTACATCTAGAAATAATCAACTTTATAATTTTATGTGCAAATCTGTGCAGATACTAGAATAAAAAGGAGTAAGTTGTTTATTTTTTACAAATTATTTTTACAGTATTTTGTACGAGACTTTTATATTTTAAATATATTTTTATTATTTTGACTTTTATATTTTAAATATATTTTTACTATTTCGTCAATAAAATAAAACAACAGTATATAACTTGTAAAATCATCTATGAAATAAAATATTAACAAAAAATACAATTTTTGAAAGAGCAATAGATCGTATTCAAGCTTGTAAAGGGCAATTTCAGTCTTCAGAAAATTTTTTATACAACATTGACCTGAATAAAGAATACGATCCTAATTTCTACAGATTTTATAGTAACCACGCAACTTCAGTCTTCAGAGAACTTTTTATACAACATTACCAAGAAGAAAGAATTCGATCCTAATTTTTACAGATTTTATAATAACCACACAATATTATATGGTACAAAAGGAATGATGAGGTCAGCATGCTAACTGATCTCTAAATGGAGAAATTTCCTCAAAGATGGGAAGTCTCCTTAATCTATAAGGCGTCATTTGGTTCATCAGCTGATCAAGTCCCTCCAAGAAAGCATCTTCTAAATTTAATCCTGTTGCAGTATTAGATATCGGACTGGTATTTAACGGCTCGAGTTCTTGTATCATGTCTTCAATGCGGCTTCTCAACTTTGGGTCATCAGATCCCGAAAACTTGTTCTGTAATACATCTTCAAGAATCAAGCGTGCTTCATCATGAGATGCTTGTTTCATCAGGCACATGCACAAGTTGCAGGCTTTGTTGGCATCGGGGTCAATCATTTGAGCTTTACGATAGACCACTTCTGCTGCCGAATACTTCCCTTGCTGCATATATGCCCATCCCAAGTTCCCCTGTGTTACATATCTTTATTATGTCAGTTGCAGCTCAAAAGGACGGCATTGATGAAGAAAAATATTTCTGAATAACTCCATGTTAAATTAAATAATTGGAAGAAATGACAAAGGAAAAGAACCCAGACGAAAATGTTAAAAATTTAAAGTTCCTTATCTACAATAATAAAACTTTAGCCAAAATTCCAAGAAAGTAGCAGCAGCAGTAACACATAATCTGTGCTAAGACTACCAGAAAATGGAACTGGCATGAAACATAACTTAGGAATAGATATGGGGATAAAACTCTTGCTAGGGAGAAGAACATTTGTGTAACTAACAGATAATAAAATATAACTGTCAGCAAATGAAACAATGTTTGGAAAACAAAAAGTCTTTTTTCGTGGAACATCCTAGAGAAATTTCCAGTGGAACTGGTATATGACATTCAAAATTCTGTCAATTTGATTATTTAAACTACATTCTTTTAGTTCCACCAGAAATTTTGTATAACTTAATTTATCATCTTCTAATATAATTTTCATAATTCTCCTACTTTAACTAGGTATGAATTTCTAAATAAATTCCAAAAAATAATTCATTCTTTCACAGCCTAATTTAGAGTTCATTCTAGTGACCGTACCAGTATCCTGGAGGTTTCTTTTTGAACAGTGACTTGGAACTTCCTTCCATGAGATCGTGCTGTCTTTGTCGGTTTTCCATTAAAGGCCTCCCCTTGACAAATCATCAAAAGTTTTTGTTTCAATAGCTCTATCTGCTCCTCTACTCTCCCACATTTCTGTCAAACTTTTCAAGGTTATCAACAAGACACTAGTACAGAACAAGATAATGAAGGCAGGCAGAAATTTCCTTCTTTAACATGTTCTGAAAATATGATGCACTGACAATGAACAATAATTTATTTTTAACGGCATGTGCAAAATTGATATTTTGTCAATGAATTAGGTTGTTTTCTTTTTACAGAAAGAACACTGAATTTGACAAACCAATTCACTGTTGTTTTTGCAAGACAGAGGGTAGGAAATCAGCCCCTACATTTTCGTATCCATTTGTTTTCCAAAGATTAGAAAAAATAACATATCAAAAAATAAAAATTGGATATCTAAACCCGTAACTAGTTTGAAAACTATTACCTTCTGCATTAACATATTTCAGCCAATAAAAGATTGCATTCTGTATCGGAGAAAAAAGAAGGTTACGCTTCTCTTAAAAGTTCTAAATGGAAATCAAAATTTTGATTAGCAAAGATCTGCAAAAGCATGAAATTATATGAAAAAGTACCTTCGCAACTCTTAAAATTTTTCAACCCACAACATTAATGTCATAGATGTGCTCAAAATATTATAGTATAACGCATAATCACAATTGTCTTCCATTGGAAGTCTATTATGAAATTTTACGATGTTCTTGCATGGAAGAAATAGAAAGACAGAGGAAAAACAAGAGACTAATCTCAAAACTGTGAAGATGCAAGTTTATGCTATTATTCAAATGGGATGTACTTTTAACTTTTTCTGGATAAAATATGAGATTTACTTATAATTTTGAATGATTTATCCTGAACGTATTCATAGTATAGTACCTTGTACAAATCAATGAGAACATTATCTAGTGATTCCTGTGCCTGCTTGGAACAGCGATCCCTGAAAGACTTTATAGCTTCTATCGCTTCTTCTGCTCTATCTTGTTGTTTCATTACTACTGCCATGTCTTTAAGGGCACTATCTACTCTATCTCCAGCATTTATTGCTTTCCAGAAAAAAACTATTGCTGCTTCTGGGTCCTTCTGAACCAACTGCAGTTGCATAAAGAATGCATATCATAAGTAGACCTTGAAAGAAGTCTTAGTATGAGAAAGTTATTACTACAAGTAGAGGTTAACAAATTTAGGTAGCAAAATGGAAAACGTAACTAGCATCTACAGCACTAAAAAAAATCATTTTGGTTCCAAAGTCTGTGGGAAAATGCACAATTAAAAAAAATCATTCAGAAATATCTTTTTTCAAGAAATTATGGAGTTAATAGACGAATCAAATAGAGGTATAATTTGTAGACAAGTCCAGTTCATCTAATCTGTTCCCTGCTAAGTTTAAATAATATTATAGCTTTTAAACCGTAAAATAGCTCCACCCTATGGGTACTGTGTCGCCTCATAGCTTGTCCTACCGATCTAGAAAAAGGTTCCCTTTCAGATTTAGTAAGACATCAGATCTATTCAAAACTCGTCAGGCAACTCATATTAATGGAATGGTTCGACAATTTAGAGAAGATGCAAATTGATTTCATTTGACCCGATAGAAAGGGCTGACAGAAAAGCTGTGTAATAAGCATCAAGGACAAGGTAAATGTTAAAAATGGGAAAGCTACTCCAACTAAAAATCCCAAAACAGGAAAGTAAATGATACCGTCAATCAATATCAGTTTACGACACAGATCTCTCCAGAAAATAAAATTACATGATCTGATTGGAATTGAAGCTTTCCTAGGCAAAGAAAAAACAGTAGCCCATATGCAATTAGCAGCTACCAGATACTCTAATCACCCGTTTATTTTGATTGAATTCTTATTTATTTATTATTCAATTACAGAATAATGAGAAAGGAACGACATTGAATCAAACTAAAAAATGGCAGTGTTTCAGTAAAGTACAGCAATAACTAAAATCTGAAAAAGAAAGAACGCTTATTTCCTTGAAAACAATTCGAAAAAAATAAAAAGTGATATCACAAACAAACAGTAATTGGGGTATGTTTATACATATATATATACCGACAGATCAGTGTTTTCTTTTACATGAATATTACTTCACAAGAGAATTTATACGTGTCTGTTGGAAAACATGTTCATGAATTAGAAACAACAAATCCTTTGATGTGTTAATAAACCATAAAAAAAAAATGCAGGCTCCAAGTATTTCTGATCAAGAAAATTCTCCAGAAATCACTTTCCAACAAAGAAACGAGTCATAAATTCAGAAAATGAATCAAACATATAGAAATCTTGACTTTTGTAATTCAAACGAAAACAACTAAATAGATCACTTAATACAATATCATCCGGACCTATATAATGTAAGTATATATGCATTATACGCATATGTATATGTACCTGGACATGCTTAGCTCGAACATATGGGCTATCACCGTGAGGAAGCTTGTGAACGACATGGAAAGGAGGCTCTTGCTTCTCTCCTTTTCTATGGCTCATCTCGATCTCTTCCTCTCTCTTAATCAAACTCCTGCAATGATTCTGTCTCTATAAATTCCCACAGTTTCTTTCTCCCTCTCCTTGTTAGCGTGCGTATATATGACGAGCTTCAAATGGGAGAGAACAATGGTCAAGATATGTAAAACGATGTTGAAACTTGGAAGAAGAATGAACTTTGACGCTATTCCGTCTACATTCATTCGTAATCCAGTTTCCCCATTAGGATTTCCCCTACGCGCCCTCGATGACTGTTTGCGTTTAGAAACCTTACCTCCTGTTGCCACGTACGAGTCGCACGTGCTTACTTTTTAAAATCCTATTTTTCAATGGGTCAATGCTTTACCTTCTCCTTTTCTTAAGTTTCCCAACTAAAAGTGAAAATACATTTTTTTCTACGTCATATTATTTAAATTCTTATTTTAAAGGAAAATAATTCATTTATTTTAACCATACTTTTATCTATTTTTTAAAAACTAAAATTTTAATTATTTTAAATAGAAACTATAACATAATAAATTATTTAATATAGTATAATAATTTAAGGTATATTTTGATACAATTAAAAATATAAAATACAATTATATAAATGTACAAAAATATTTTTTGATATTATTCCTAAATAGTAGATATATTGTGGAAGTGGCAATAATTGATCCTATCTTTCTAATAAAATTGATATCCTAAATAGTAAATTGCATAATAATTTATTATAATATATTATTTAATTTAATTTTGAAAAAAATTGAAAATTTTTATATAATACAATAACGTTTAACAGTAGATTATGATTTAGCATTAAATATTAAAATTATAGTCATTAAAAATTTAAAAAATATATATTTTCTTTCAATTCTAAATAATTTTTGAAGTGATAAGGTTGTTTTTTTTTTTTCTAAAGTTGTACGGTTGTTTATTATAATTAGGCCATTTATTAGTTAAAAGTTAATAGGCTTGACTTCTTAAGAAAAAGAGTAGGATGTATTTTCATTAAGAATTTAAATCAAAAAGAAATTTTTGCCTTAAAAAATTATTACAGAAAATTATGATGCCAATTTTATAACCAAAGTACCGAGAGAATATTTTTTTTAATGAAAAAGTGATGAGCAAATAATTGAGAGAAACAAATTTAGTAAAAAGTAAAATTTTTTAACCTTTTACCGTAAGGGATAATCAATCTTTGTATAGTATCAATTGAATATTTGTTTTAGTTTCTTATGTGGTTGCTAATGTTGGTGCCCTCAATTGGGAATTTGTTGGAATTAATAAGGTAAGAAGAATTTTTGGATTTAATTTATGATAAATCTAATTCACGATTAATCTTATAAAGATGTTAGAGGTAAAATCGAAATTTAGAACTTCCATTAAAATTTTATGCAATTTATAATTTTTAATCATCTATTGCTAAATGAAAAATGTAGAAAATAATATATATTTAGTGATCACCAATGCACATGATGTCATACATAACGAGCATTTTATATGCTCTTCGAGATTACATATTGTTAAAATGCGTATCAAAAGATATGTATATATGTTGATGTTTCGTTTTATTGGTACATTTTTTTTAATTTTCTTTTAACATATGATTTAAATTTAAGATTAATAAAAATATCAAACTACATATCAATAAATTAAAAAGTTATATTCTAAAACACAACATAGATTTTGTGAAAAAGGGATCCAATTCATCCATGAAAAACATGAGATATTATTTGCCTAATAAAAAAAACTAATAAACATATATATTATTAGAAATACATTACGATTATATGAAGCCCATATTTGCCTAATAAAAAAACTAAAATTTGAAGTTTTCTCTACATATTCGTAAATTATATTGAAATCTCCTCCAATATAATGGTTGAAACTCAACATAAATGACTCAATATAAACTAAATATTGTCTAATAGCTTAATCTAAAAAAGTAAAAACTAATAGATTACAAACACTAATACCAACTTTAAGACTAACAAGTTTATAGCAATAAAGATATAAGGTATTACGTTAGATTTGCATATAACAAATGAACAAAGAGCAATGACTTAATTGTTAAATTGGATTTTATCTGTATCAAGTACCTCTTTCGTCAATTGGCCAATAACAAGACCGACTACTTTCATTGACATTTATATTTGAAAATTTATTTAATATAATTAAATATTCAATACTTTAATATTCACTCTAAAAATAACATATTTACAAATATATTTGACAAATGGGCATAGAAAGACCTAATTGGTACAATTAAAGCTTTCTCTATTTCTAAATAATTATAGCACGACCTAATTGCATTTAATTGGTAGTAAACCAGCTGTCTTATCCTAATTTTTTAAAAAGAATTAAATTTATCATGTACAAAATAAGATAGAAATTAATATATAAAAATAAAATAAAGTTGAAAGTCTATTATATTCAATATACATAAATAAAATAGAGTTGAAAGTTTATTATATTCAATATATACATGACTTACAGTTTCAATAGTTTAAATAAGATAAAACTCATGAATGCACATGATAAACTTGTGGTATTTATAGATTGAGCTATAATATACTTAGTATCATAGTTTTATGAGACAAAGAATTTATAAAATTTTCGATAAAAATAGAAGGTAAATTATAATTTTAACATATGAAAAAATTATTTTACATACAATAATATTTTTGACAATTCTCTCAAATTGAAGGCGCTCAATGTAGTCAAATTTTAATAAAAGAAAGTAGTGACAATGATTCAGTGAAAATAATTAATTGACAAAGTCTTATATGAAAAGTGTAAAGACTCGAAACTTAAAGTAAATGAATTTGTATTTTTAAATGTGGAAGCAATAAATAATATTAGGGTTTACATTCCTTATACAATAAATTAAAATATCCAATAGAGCTATGTGAATATCCATACTACCGCGGATCGTAATGAGAAGTAAATAAATAATCTAAAACAATTAGATAGATGTCCTAGAGGTTAACCTCCACTAGCTTTTGAAGGAGTTCGGAAGGTAAACTACTCACAACTTTCTTCATGATCGGGATCTGAATCTTTATCATCTTAATATGAAATATTTAATAGAAGAGTGAGCTATACTATCCTAGTAAGAATATCACACTAATCACTGATATGAAAAATTGAAAGTTAGTAAAAATTACAAAAATAACTAATGGAACCCTTAATTTAAGTAAATTCATTTACCATGAAGAAAACTGCTTATTTCATACTTACCGTTACGAGTTTTTCAAAAATCAACATATGAAAACCAATATCCATACAACTTTTCAATTTCATGCATAAGTGAATAAGAAATGACAATTTTTTTTACCTGCTTACTGGTACCCCTAAAGTTCTATAGAAGTGTCCCCCCACACGTGAACTCAATATCCATATTTATCAATTAACCGGCCGTTCTCATACCTCGTCCGGTAATGGAGCCCAAACATTCTATTACCTCAATACCCTGTCCGGTAAGGGGGCCCAAACATTCTATCACCTTAATACCCTGTCCGGTATAAGAGTGAACCATATCTCCCAAACTCTTTTGGTATAGGACTTCCTAGAGCCGTTCGACTGAGTTAACGTTCATGGTAAGGTTCTCTATGTACCAAGCTCGTTCTCCCTTTCCTAGGATATCCGATAAGTCTTTTACATAAAGATCTCCATCAACAAAATAACCACCAAGCTGTAATAATTGGAAAAAAAAGGAAAATTGGTATGTATGTATAGATATATATGTAGAATGAGGATTTCAGAGGTGAAACGGCGTCATTTGGTGAAGGGAGAGGGGCAACGACATCGTTTGGAGAAGAGGAGGAGGAAAACGACGCCGTTTGA